TGGATTTTAGACATAGAGTAAGGGATTACCAGTCTACAATCCACACTGCCAGATAAACTAGTAATCAAGGAAGACCCTAAAAGAGACAAACTTTGTCCCCTGGAGAAGGGGAAAGGGCCAGGATCCCCTGAGCAAATTGAGAGCATGGGAAGAGGGGGGAAGGAGCTATGAGAATGAGAAGGGAAGAAGAGGAAGGATGCAGAGTTCATGAGGGAGCAGAAAGGTTGAGTCAGGGGTAGATTAGAAGAAAGGATATGTGATAGGAAGGATTTTGGATGGGGGGGCGGCAGGGGAGGAAGGGAGAAGGGAACTGGGATTGTCATGTAATTCAATCTTGTTTGTAATTCAAATAAAAAAAAAGAAGGTAAATCAATCGAGACAGATTGTACATTGGCAGTTGCTTACGGATGGCTTGGGGATTACAAGATTTCCTCCTGAGGTAATAAAAATACTTGAAAAATTTCACAACAAATGCATGATTCTCTGAATATTACTAAAAGCCACCAAATTATACTACCTAAAGGGTGAATTGTGTGGGATGAAAGTTACATCTGACTAAAGCTATTTTATAAAGTCAATACAATTACTTCACTCTAAAGATAAAAAAGTGAGTATAGCACAATATCATTAGGAGTCATTACACACACACACACACACACACACACACACACACACACACACGTGAGTAGTGTTTGGTTATACCTTAGGTCTCTGAGTTATCTAGTCTCTTATTCTTGGACACCCAAGGAGAGTCAGGTATAGGATCATTCTCATGGAATGGGCCATAAGTCAAGTCAGATATTGGTTGGTTACTCCCACATGCTCTGTGCTGCCATTATCCTAGCATATTTTGTAGCCAAAACGGATTTTATATAAAAGGTTTTGTGGCTGGGATGCTATTAATGTTTCTCTTTTTGTAGCCTGCAGAGTATGTTCTTACACCAAAGACATAAGAATGCAGGGATCAAGGTTCTACGTAGGCACCAGCTCGACTTCTACATGACCAATGAGTTCTCTGGGTGTCATTCTCAGCAATGGGATCTTGGTGTCAGTTTGTGAGGAGCAACCTATTGTCTTATTGTCTTAGCAACAGTCTGCATTGATTTCCATGGGATCCTTCTGACCAACCACTCAATTAGATGAATTCAAGTCCAGGTGCTAGAAGCTTTATTCAGTGACAAAGGATGGGATGACCAATTGGAATTTGGTCTCCCTCATTATTTGGAGACTTCATTAGGATTGCCCTTATAAGAAGTGTACACTCTTAAGTTTTCATACCACCCCTCAGATGCCCTTCAATCTTTCTGTCTCTTCCCTAACTCCCTCCTTCAATCCCATCTCCCTTCCAGCTTCCCACCTGATTATCCTGTTCTCATACCCTGGCCCCATCCAGTCCACCTATAATATATATTCTATACTTTCCCTTCCAGGAAGATCCATGTGCTCCATCCCGCATCCTGCCCAACCCTTTCCTCTAAGTCTAACCTCTCTGTCTATGAATTATAGCTTGATTATCATTTATTCAATGGCTAGTATCCAGGCATGTTTACCTTTCTGGGTCAGAGTTACTCACTCAGGATGTTTTATTTTAGTTCCATCCATTTGTCTGAGAATTTCATGGTGTCCCATATTTTAACCACCTTTTCTTTATTCATTCTTCTGTTGAGCGACATCAAGGTTGTTATCAATTTTTAGCCACTTTGAATAGAGCAAAAAATGAACATGGTTGAGCAAATGTCCCTTGGAAATTCCTTTGGTTATATGCCCCAGAGGGGTATAGCTGGATCTTGAGGTAGATATATTCCCATCTTTCTGAGGAACCACATAGGTAGGGTTTTAAAGCATATGCACATGATACTTTTAGGAAGGCTGGACCAAGCACAAGGTACCATTTGCATGTAGTATAAAAGAGGAGCTGGAAAGTATGGAAATGAGCTCAAAGAGAGAAAGGCTTTGACCGGGAGGCTTCAAATAATACTCAATTTTATTAATAAGTCAGAAACAGTGTGGATTAAAACAAAGGGCAACACAATCTTAATTCTATATTAAGCATGCCAACCTAGATTACAAGGGGTTGACTGAATTTCATCAACAAGCCATTTTAAGGGGAAGCTCAACCAAGACCAGAAAATGGGGCAAATGTCTAAAACACCCTCTGGACCATAAATTAGAGGTGATTCAGTGGAAAAAGAATCTAGAGATGTAAGACAAGATACACAAAGTTCATGGTGGCTAATTACAACCAAAAAAATCAGGAATGTTCATCCCCCTCATCCCCCCACCCCTCTGTCTGTCTGTCTGTCTGTCTGTCTGTCTGCCTCTCTCTCTCTCTCTCTCTCTCTCTCTCTCTCTCACACACACACACACACACACACACACACACACACACACACCGACAGAGTTTTAAGTAGCTAACAGTTTTGTGTTGGACCACTTTCACAGTTGTCTTGAACCACATGCAACCTCTGAACTTATGCATCTGGATGAAGATGTTACTAAGCAGGTATGTTATGTAGCCTTCTGCAACTATAAAACACATCTGCAATAGCTAACTTATAAAGGGGAAAAAAGCTTATCTTGGCTTATGGGTTTGGAGATTCCAGTCTGATAGTTTGACTCCACTGTATTAGCACTGTAGTAAGGCTTGAAGCACATGGCAAAATGAATCCACTCACCTCTTAAGTCAAACCTTAAAGAAAGCAAGAAGGGGACAGATCCCCACAAGTCTCTTCTAAAGGACACCTACATGACCTAAGGACCCCTACTTCTCCAAGATTGTACTGCCTGTCATCTAGCCACCCTAGAAGAAAGCAATTTAACACATGGGTCTTTAGAGTACATTCAACATCAAAACTATAGCAGTAGTTAAAGGGTAATAGTTGGTTTAAGAGAAAATGACAATGTATTTGATTCAGGCACAGTGATCTAGAGGGTTGAATTTCCATAAGGGCCTTGTAGGCAGGCAATTTAAATTTTCATACTATACAAGAACACTGAGACAGGGAAACCCAAGCTTCCCAGACAGACAAAGCCAACAAGACAGAACAGCAAACAAGAAGGAAGCTCCCACACAAGGGTATCTGAATTCTGATGCAAAATGAGTTCAGTCAACAGGTTTGTAAAATTTTAAAAATTTAAATTTATTAGGATGTATTAGTAGCACAGTTACACAGAATAGAGTTCAGGGATTCACCAATGATGGTCACCAATGTGTGCTTCTTTGTGGCTTTTAACCCCTATTTTTCATCATTCAAATTTATTCAGATAATAGTTGGATTTCATACATAGCTTCACAATATGGGTCTGACAGGTCTTCCAGTAATAAAATGAATGAAAACGTATGTTTCATGAAAGGCACATAAAAGAACCTAAACTAACATGTAAGGGATTTTGCTAGTCTTGAATTTCTTTACATTACAAAGAAGAAAACAGTTCCCCCCAAAGTAAACAGATGTACATACAGTTTATGGCTCTCCATATACTTACATATGCACAAACTTCAACAAGGAGACTTTAAAGAAATGGCAACATCTGACTCAAGTGAGAAACTACTCACTGGTAAAGTTTATAGAAAGACTTAACGTGACAGGATGAGTTAAAAGGGGATTGAGCTGGGGAATGCTATTCATTTTGCCAAAACAAGGGCACATAGACATGTTGTAAACGATTATAAGAAAAATGGCACTAACTAACAAAGCTCAGTATGTAGCTCTTATGTAACACCTATGTAAGCACACATACACTCACTGATCTTGTTAAATACTACTATTCAATTTCTAAGTATAATTGTTCTCTTAATGTCAGAAATCATAGTGTAGCTTTAAAAGCATGTAAGTTCCAGCGAGTGGAATGAATTTGAATATCTAAGGGAAAAGAAGTAATTTTTCACATAAAATGATAAACTTGAAACTAGTTATACATGAATCAAAAGCTTGTATAATATTAGTAGTGGAGTATTTTTGGTTGTCTTCCAAACAAAGAACTCTCGTGTATGCTTAAGTACAAGGGGTTTCTCAAAGAAAATACATAAATGAAATGTCTCAAAATTGACATACTAAATTTTTTTACCCACAAAAATGCTTTCATCAGTCACTTAAACTTTATTATAAATAAATCTGTGGTTACTTAAGTGTATAAAATTAAGCTGGCATCACCCAAAGGCAGTGCAGTAATGCCAACCCGATACTAAGATCCAAATTGAAACAAAGTGATGGACTAAAAGTGAAGTGTTTTTAAGTCTAAGATCCTGTATCCTCAAAAATCTGGTATACCAGTTTTTTCTTAAAACAAACCTAAGGTAGAATGGGAGCATCATGCACTCTGTAAAGAAAATGTCAATGTACACAATGCTTAACTAACTGATCCAAAGGTGGGAGTGCCTAACCTCTGTAAGAACATCCCTGTGAAACACATAACCTTCAGAGAACAACTCATATTACTAAAATAGTCTGTGCAGTTTTGTACAAATAACATTTTATGAATACAAGTATACATACAATCAAGGTAAGGGCCATGACATTTCCTAATATTAACTACGGTACCTAAAATTTATAGGACACTAACATAAAATAAAGCTGTTTAAAACTGGCAAACACAGAACTAATCTGTCATTCGGTACAAGGTACTTAATATTTATGTTATTCCCCAAACCATCACACTAGAATCGTAAGTTGCCACTCTTACAACCTAAACATAATGTGGGAAATCAAAACTTATAAATACATCTTACATTTGCATATTTACACTTACCCAGAAATCATCAGTACACTAGAGCCCAGCCTAAATATCACACCTCACTTTCACACCACAGGATCATCCTTCACCTTTGAGAATGACCCTATTATTTTCAGAGAAAGACACAAAACAGAGCAACTTTGGTCAGGTCCAGGATGCTTTTGCTGTATACTACATTCTGTGTTGCTGGGAGACTCTAGTCTAGAGAGATCCATATATAAGTACTCATTTGGTTTGAAAATGCATGTGACTACCAACTGCAAAACTTAGAAGAGACCACAATCTTTTAGATTATTCTTTATGATGACATCTGTTACAGCATCAAACACAAACTGCACGTTCTTCGTGTCTGTTGCACAGGTGAAGTGGGTGTATATCTCCTTTGTGTCCTTTCTTTTGTTGAGGTCTTCAAACTGACACTGGATATACGCAGCTGCCTCTTCATATGTGTTCGATCCTGAGATGGAAAAAAAGCAAAGAAGTTTGCAAGAAGTTATGCTTGTATAGGCTTAAGGAAAATACGTGTCAAAGCACAGGTCACTTTTCTGCATATAAAATATATGGACTCTGTAACCCCACTTTCCCTTCTAAAACAAAATGATTTTTTTTTTCAAATGAAAAACACTGTGTCTTCACAAGCCATCTTTAAACTTAAAATCTCCTTTACATGGTATTCTATGTTTTCTGTGTTTCTGCTTAAGTCTCCAAGAGCCAGAGTTCTTTTTTTTTTTTTTTTATCACCCTCTATCATCTACATCCCCAGTCACTGAACCATAACGGCGGTTAACTATTACTGTGCTAACCCACTGGCGAATCAGTAGTGTTGGCTGAATGCTTCCCTCTCCCCCTTCATAGTTACTCATTAATTATCCTTTTGTCATCATTTTTTTTTATTCAGAACTTACTGAATAGAACTTTATTCAGGTCTATAATATAATTAAATGTTATGAAGTTACCAAAAAGAAAAAAACAATGGTGATTAGAGACCGGCTCTGAGTGAGAACAATCAGAAATGGGTTGGCAGACTCTGAGGATAAGTACACACATACTCTGACCCAGAAATTCCAGTTGTTGCATGTAGGCTTGGTAGAACTTTATGTTATGCTTAAGGAAGACTCACAAAGAAGGCTAGTGGAGCACAGCCTTCTACTTCAGGAAACAGCCTGAAAGTCTGTCCCTTGTCACTGACACAGGAATCTGGGAGAATCACATTATTAGCTGCCACTCAGAAGTAAGGATGTAAGCATGTTGCAAGACAGAGTAACACAAGTGAACTTCTGTGGCAATCTCTGGATGCAAGGAGCCAGACACAAACATGTACATACCCCGTGTGACCTAATTGCTGTTTGCAAAACAATAAAAATGGGTGTGTGAGGAAAAAGCCACTATTAAATAAATTTGTTGGGGGAGAAAATTAGTTGAGACTGAAAGGGGGCAAAGGGATTCTGGGATATTGGTAAGTTCAGCTTCTTAACTCATGTAGTAGATATTAAATTTGCATTTTTATATTGTATGTTCACTTTCCCCTGTTTGTTTTCTCTTTAATTATTTTTAGTTTTGAGATTATAGTATAATTACATCATTTTTCTGTTTCCTTTCCTCCCTACAAACCCTGCCATGTATCCCTCCTTGCTCTCTTTTAAATTCACAGCCTCCTTTTTCATTAATTGCTATTACATATAAATATGTATATCCTCATACATATTATATTCCTAAATACAACCTGCTCAGTCTGTATAAGGTTGTTTGTATGTGTGTTCTCAGGGCTGACTATTTGGTATTGGATAATCAGTTGCTGTGCTTTTCCCTGGGGGAGACTGTTTCTCTTGTTTTCAGCATTCCTTAGTTGCCTGTAGTTCTCCTTGTAGGGTGGAGGCCCCCTGGATTTTCCCTATCCACTTTGGCATGTCTACTGCTGTTGTCCTTGTTCAGGCAGTCATGTTGGTGATACTAGGGACATAGCTTCTCATGTTACTAGGAGACACAATCCCACAGTGAACTCTGTGACCTTCTGGCCCTCAAATCTTTCTGCCCCTCTTCAGCATTGTTCTCTGAGCCTTAGTTCAAGAGTGTTTTGTAGATGCACAGATAGTGAGTGGGTTCCACAACTCTGCTTTTTAATTGTTGTGGTTTTCTTTTGTAATAACCCCACATTACTTGTCTGCCTTTCAAGACTCTCCATGCTCTCAAACTTTGCTCTTAGGTGCTCAGGTCCACATCTGGGGCTCAGTGTGTATCACTAAAAATCATTATATAAAGTGCCCCTTATTCTGCAGCACTGTTTCCCTGCTGTCCTTCACAATCCAGTGTGTCTGGCTCTTTCCACATCTGCTCAAAATGCACTCTACATAATATCCGATAATTATCCAAATCCAGATGGGCTCTGTATCACTAAGAACTCCTACAGACAATAGAAATACTACTCCAGTTTTGTTATATGCTTTACTGGGGTCTCAATTTGTTTTCGGCACTAGGTATCCTAAATAGAATGCAATAACTCTATCTTGCAAACCCCAACCACTTTCATCAGACCTTGCATGAAACTACAGTACAATGGATGTCACATGACAGGACCCAGAGAGAGAGAGATTGTGTTTAGTGTGCCTGGGCAGCAAAAATGATAAAACTATAGACCCTGAATATGTTTATATTTTAATTGTTTTATATCATAATAACTTTATAAACATCATATTTTATTAAATCATTGGTGCTCCAAAATTTGGATGCAATGAACAATGGCTTGTTGGGTTAAGGAAGCTATTAAAATGTAACCCATTAATTAATTAATAACACATGTGTTTAGGTAAAGGAGTTTACACCTAGTACATAGTTCATATGCAACACACATTTTGGATAGCTAAATTGCTACACTCCAAGGTTTACCAAATACATGAATAAACTCCTGAACACATTCTTTGATCTGATTTTCCATGTGAAAAATGAAAGACGAAGGAGCAAAGTGTGTACATGTGTGTTTGTTGCAGTGTGTGCACAGCCATGCTGGGGAAACAGGTATTTTCAACTGTGTGAACTTTCCTGAATGAATATATGACTGGGATAAAGCAACTGGAAACTTTATGAGACAGTGAAAAGAGGAGAGAAAGAAAACAGTATTAACTTTGTTTATACTTCAGTGCTCACAACTATGTTCAGAAAGCAGTTGAAATTAGAAGTAAGGGGCTGCAGAGAGAAATTTGGGCTGACAACATAATTTTGCAATTAAGAATAAATATGACTATGAAAGGGTAGTTTTCAAAAAGATTACAGGGCTGCAAATGGACCTTGGTGAAATGGCAACTCAATGAAATGTGGCTGCCAGGACCACATAGGCTTTATCCATAAAAAGCCATAACCATGAAACCTAGGAGCTGATGTTGATGCAAGAAGTAACTTACCAAACCATACAGCAAGTTGTGCAGATTTGACATTATAATCTTAGCCTTTGGGATATCAAATAATTACATTTTATTCTTGTGCTTATTAAAGATCCTTCCTTTCTGCTTCCAAGGAGACTCTAATTAAAAGCAGCCTGACTGGTGCAGCCTGGTCTGGGTGCAGACATGGGATGCACGGGGGTCTAAAACCTGAATGGGGCTACCCAAATACCAACACCAATGCACCATCCAACAGCAGCTGTGTGAAGGAACATGCTGCTCACTCAACACTCACCATCAACACATTCCCTGCAGCGGTGACTCAAATTTTATTTAGTCTGTAAGACATTCTTGAGAATTTTTTGTTCCTTCAAACAGACTGAGGCAAAGGTTAAAATATTTAGATTTTAGAATTCATAAAATCCAGTGTCAGTTTTATTGTCTAAAGGGACAAGGCCTTTCATATATATTTACTTTGTGTGTGAGGGCTGGAAGCGTGGGAGTAAGTAGGTAGCCTGCTGTTCCCGGTATTCACTTTTTTTTGGGGGGGGACTAGGTTCTCATATACCCTGCTGTCTTTGAACTTACTAATATATAGGCCAGGATGGCCTTGAAGTACTGATCTTCTTGCACCACCTCCCAAGTCTGGGGCTCAAGATCATAGATCTAATCTTGTAAAAGCTGGGTCTTTCCTTCAAATCTGCTTCGCTCATGGAGTACATTGTCCATAGCAGCAAAACTGAAGCATCATGGAGAGCCTCATTATCAAGGCTTGGATTTCTTATCAGCCTTTCCCTGGCACCATGGAAGAAGGAGCAGCCTCATTGGCTCCATAGAGGAAGGAGAGGCCTCATTGGCTCCATGGAGGAAGGAGTGGCCTCATTGGCTCTATGGAGGAAGGAGCCGCCTCATTGGCTCCTCTTCACTTGCCCTCTACAGCACTGGTCACCATCCCACTCCAAAGCAGGGTGACTGCTGTTGTTCATCATGTGTTTATTAGCATGTGTGTGTAATGAGATAGCAGCAGAGACAGATCTCATCTTTGCTTATCTAATCCGTGATACGGTTATTGTATGAGCAAGTAAGTTTTTAAATCCATAAAGACACACGGAGTTCTCTCAGGAAATTACCTAAAAGCTTTTCCATAAAATGAACCAGGGATTTTCAGAAAACTCATCCACATCTTCAAGAACTATTTGTGTTCAAATGCAGTTTGAAAAATGCTATGCCCTCCATTGTGGTGATATTTTGTTTATGATCTAACAAGCAAAGCTTGTATGAAGATCAGAGTGCAAAGCTAGCCACACTAGTCAGCCATAGGCCAGGCAGTGGTGGGTGGCACACACCTTTAATCTCAGCACTTTAGGAGACAGAAGCAGACTGAACTCTGTTAGTTCAAGGCCACCTTGGTCTACACTAGATTGAGTCTGTCTAAAAGAGAAACAGAGCTCACATAAAGGTGATTCCAGCCCTTGAGATCACAAGCTTTTAATCCCATCACTAAGGAGGTGGAGACAAGAGTGATATGGCTGGTCAGAGACAGGACTATAAGGAGAGAGGAGACAAAAGAGAGATACAGTCTGAGGAGCAGTGCAGTCTGAGCAACAGGGTAGTCTAAGCGGTCTGAGGATGCAGTCTGAGGACAGGATCACCCATTTGGTCTGAGCATTGGTAGAGGTGAGAACTCTCTAGTGGCTGGCCGCTTTGCTTCTTTGATCTTCAGCATTAACCCCAATATCTGACTCCGGGATTTATTATTATGACCAAAGAATTTGTACTACACTCCAGTGCAAGAATTACTAAGCCAATAAATTCAAGCCAACAACTGAAAATCTCACCTAAGGAGAATTTCACCAAACAACACATGCTTTGCTAAGCTATTCTGTGACAAATACCTGCATATTCTGGGTAGCATATCGTGAGGGGACTCTTTTTGATTTTTTCTTCAAAGAGGTCCTTCTTGTTTAGAAAAAGTATAATAGATGTGTCTGTAAACCACTTGTTGTTACATATGCTGTCGAACAACTTCATGCTTTCATGCATTCGATTCTGTAACAAAGAAATCATTCTTATGAGCAGTGACGGGTTTGAGGAACAGTTTTAGAAAGAACAAATGGTGCAACGGGCCAGATATTTTCAGCTGAAAACCATTCAATGCTCTGAAGGATGTCCCAGCTGTTATCTCAACTCCAATTTTGTCTTAACCGGTTCTGTCTGACTCACTTTGGCTGATTTCAAACTTACGCAAAGAAAGCCTTAACGGTTTACTCCCTGTGATGAAACGCAGGCCGGCCCCATTACCTCCTAATGGTAAATGAATCTCTCCCCTTTCCCACAGAGCAACAACAATTTTCCAGAAGCCAGCAGGAGACCCTGCACAACCAGGACTGTGACAATGATCAACCAGAACACAGGTTGACCCAGACAGTGGGATGATGCATTACCAACCTCCCCACCTGCTGGCTCCTGGCTTTTTCTTTCCCATATAGAATCCAAGAGCTCTTCTCACATCCAACAAGAGTCTAGGATGCTAATACCCTGCCCTTCACTGGACTGAATGAATACCTTCCTACTTTGTCTTAGCCAGCCACTTTCTAATTAGACTACAGAGGTGACAAGTGGCGAGGTCCAGAGGACTGAGGCATCTATCCAGTCAGGTCTCTTGATCTTAAACTGGTAATAATTCCATAATAGTACATTTTTTGTCATTTCTACACAAACACAACTTAGATTTTAAGCAAGCTGGATATCTCAAGATCACATAATCATCACTAGGTCAGTGCCTACTGTGTGAGGTCTTATGCCCAAGCCCCTCCTGCTGGAGCATGTTATAATCAAGGGATGTCCATGTGGGAAGAAATATCACCATTGTACACATCACCTAAGCTCAAGACATAGATGGAAACTTTAAAGAGTAATTATCAAACAGAGTGAACTGAACTCCTAGTCAACACTGGAAATTAGCGAAGAAGACTTAGTTTTTGTTCTCCACTCTTTCAGGATCTGTGTTCAAAGAGGACACTGACATACAGTGTAGGAGTGAAAGAGATGTGATGTGATACTGTATTTTCTCTCCCTGCCAACAACTAAATCTACCTGATTTAGAAAAACCTGGAGTATCTCCTAAATTTTCCTTTGTATTTAAATGCCAAAGTTTTAAAGTCCTATTCAAAAACTCTTTCCCATATTAACAATACTTATTGAATGCTATTGGAAAATTATTTTTCTATAAATAGCCAAGGATAATAAAAATCAAAGTTTACAAGCTATCAGAGTAACATGTGCAAAAGTCTGAACTGTGGAGCAGATGCAGGAAATACACAGGTAGTTGGTGGCGAGGAACACCTGTGCCTCCCAAGCATCTGTGTCTGCCCTTCATGAAGCCAAAGCAGAGCTTGAACTTTCAAATAATTCCTTCCTCAGCAAGGATTTCTCAAGGTTTCTCAGAAACGTTCTTGGCAACATCTGCAGCTCCTGGCATTTCATGTTGCACCCCTAGAAATGCGTCTACTTGCCATTTCTTCATCTTCAGCGAGAACCAGGTCATAGTCACTCAGGGCCACACAGAAGATGATGGCGGTCACTCCTTCAAAGCAGTGAATCCATTTCTTCCGCTCTGACCTTTGACCACCCACATCGAACATTCTGTAAGAGGAAAATTTATGACTTGACACCACACTCAATGTTCAAAAGCTCCGAGGAGCTCTGTAATGCCAACAAAAAATGCTCTGCATAGTTTGGGGACTGTGGGATGGGAAGGAGAAAGGGACATGGTAGGAGGGGAAAAATGTTACCAATTTGTTTTCTCAAAGGCAGAGGTGGGTGTGAGGTTAAGTTATTTTTTAATAAAGTCTTTGATTGCTGTGAGGGTAGCTCTAAACAAAATTTTTAAAAAAAATGTATTCTCAACAAACAACACATATGTGCCCTTAAGGTAACTTGGCAAATGCCTAGCAGCCTGAGATTCAATCCCTGGGTCCCTTCCACATGTGGCATGTTTGTATGTGTGAGTTCATTCACACATACACACACACACACACACACATGCACAAGTGATAATAATAAATTCAAATTTAAAAGTTTTTTAAAGCACAGACATGCATTAACATATGAAAGCATTTAGGGCATTCAAGCAACTACACATTAATGGATCTCACTGCTTGTAAACACTGACAGTCGTATGAAGCCCTAGGGGAAAACAGAGATCAAAGAAAGCACACTCAATTTGCCAGTCCCAAGTGTTAGAGCCAGAGGACAGGGCCCCATTTGTATTGAGAAGGAGGTTCTGTCAGAGCAGAAAGCAGGATGCTGATGGAATGTCCAAACAATTTCAGTAAGAAAATGCTTGTGAAGCAAAGTAATTTCAGAAAGGGCTGAAGAGGTTTGTGTAGATTACAGAATAAAATGAGAGGGGGGGAAGCGGGAGGGGGGAAAATCCCTCAATTGTTATACAAGATATGATCATGGACAACTGGCAGTTAGGGTACAGGGTTCTGACACAATCAAACAATAGAATGCCAATGACCTTTTCTTTCTGTTCCTGGCAAGTTCATAAAGTTAGCAAAAGTTTACATTTGCATAGACTACATTATACAGCCCAGAAATAACCACTTATATAATGGAAACATGCTGTAAACTGGGCCATTTTTAAAGGCCCCGTTTATCTTGATGGTGCACTAATTAAAACCATTCCCATTTAATTCCCTACAGAGCAGTAGTGGCCGACAAACCAGATCTGAATCCATCCACTAGGGCTGTGACTTCTGTCATCTTGGTTTAGCTGGAAACTGTCTCATTAAAGTTTACTAGAACAAAATGATCCTACCACAGCTGAAATCAGAGTGGATGGAATGGGAAGAGAAAGCAGAATGGATAAGATGTGACCAAACAAGAACAAAGGGAGAACTGATCTATTGTTACATTGCCTAAGAATACAATTTATAAACAATGTTACCCTAGCCTTAGCTTCTTCACACAGCATGCATGGCTCACCCACTGCTGTAACTACCCATCCCATCCTCCACTGTCCCTGTGCTGCTTTGCGACTGAGTTACTCAGCTTCTGTGTCACTGATGTGGTTGACGTTTACAGCTGGCTGATTTTAAGTCACAAAAACAACAAGCTGTGCCCTAGCTTTTATTTGAGCCGGATTGTCTGCTCCACAAACTCATGTCTATCAGGGCCTTCAGACAATCTAGTCATTTTTATTCTCTGGAGAGTACTGAGAGACGCAGATGGCAGCACCAATAGGGGTGGGGGTACTATAACAAATATCTACAGACACGGAAGTGAAAGGGGGTTTAGAACTGAATGACAAGTAGCATCTTGAAGTGTTCTGAAGCACTTTACATAAAAAGAAACAACTGGATTATCTTGAAACACAGACAGCAAAGTTCATTTGACTCTGAATTCAGATGAAAGTGAGAACCCTAGTGCATGTACCATGACGCACAGAGTGCAAATACAAAACTAGTTAAAGACACTTTGGATGAGTTCTCAGCAGAAACAGAAAATGCCACTGCAGGGACGGTGATGCTGCAGCAGACGGGCAGGAGAAGAGTGTGCCTGCATCTCTTGTCTACAATGGAGTCTGTAAGCAATGAACTTGCCTGCCGATAGGAATGCAACAGCAGAAAGGTAAACTGAGGCATAAACTCTAAGCCAAAAGGGAAAGAAGGACATGAGGCAGCACTCTGGCATAGGTAGAAGCCCACGTGTGCCATCAATTGCCAGCAACTACCCGACACTAAAAACAGGAAGGGATATTCTTCCCCAGAAGCCTTGAGGGGGAACAAGGCCTACTAACATACTGATTTCAGTTCCATTCTCCAGACCAGGAAGATGGTGAATTTATAATCGTTCATGAACATAGTTTTGGGCAATTTGTATGGCAATCCTAGGAAGCGAAAATATTATTGTGCAATGGGTATATTATTACTCATAAGCTCTACTTTTTGCCATGGCAATTACCATCTCTTACAATTTAAATATCTGCATTTTTATATGTCTTTCCCCTTGAAGAATTTAAAAACAAAGACTTTTGTTTCTCTTTGCTTGTTTATGTCCCCAACATTTGATACACAACTAACTCAATAAATATGTGCTATTAAATAAATAAGTTATGCCTACTGAATAGTTTCCAACATTTTCTAAAAACAATAGACGTCTTTATTGTGTTTAAGATTTGGAACTGCCTTCTATATCAGGGGAGTATTAAAGTCAAAGAGTTTCCATTAGTGTGTGACACTCAGATAATTTGAGTATAGAGGAACACCCCTCCCCCATGTATTTAACTTATGAACTATAAGTGAATGACAGTCCGTCATATATTGGCTATAACCGGGAATACCTAAGTCTAGGCCAGTGACTTTCAAGTAGTATGAATCAGAAGCAACATCTGGGAGATGCTGACGTCACTGCTCTGGGACTATCTTTTGAGAAAGAACCTGCAAGCCAAAGAGCAGCCATAGATGTGACCAGATTATGTTTAAGGTTAGTAAGTATTTAAAGACTTCAATGAAGATAATAACCAGAATAACTATTTTTACTACTCTTTTCATATTCCAGAATGCACATAAATCACAGGGTATTCAGAAATTCTTAATTTTTTATTCATAAATCTCGAAATTCTTTAATATATTGTTTCTCAAATTCTGATTATCAATTTAAACAATAAAATTTCCTCACATAATCTGTTCTTCATAATATGAAAACACTGTTAACCATTATGAACTAGACAATCAATTTGAATTTCTTAGGTATTTTTGTAAGGTGATATCGAAGGGGATATTCCTGAGACATACTACCTAAGTCTTTGAAGTAATCTTTTTCCAATGTGGCTAAGACTGACTAGTACAAAATTAGCTCATTAAGAGAACAGGGTGTCCCAAAATCCATTACACATTTGTATTATTCAAAAGGAAGTTTTTCCTAAGCCATGTCAATTTTATAACAGAAAGAAGACATTCAATTGATATCTAGAATTGTTAACTACAGCTGCTTATTCTTTCATTAGACAAAGACCCTGACCACAAGACCCACTCATACAGATAGATCCTTAAATTGTAAGACATTCTCTCATAGCTTGTTTTCTATTTCTTAATCCAATCATACAAAAATGTGCAGTGTTTGACTTAGCACTAAAACAAGACAAAGTATTGTAACATGAAATATACAGAGCACTACTAAGTGATAAGCACAGTCAGTTGATGGTTCATAGTAGATTTAGTCTCCATTTCTGCCCTCATATATTTGAGGCCCATTTACATAGAAAAAAAACATGTATAAGCAATCATTGTGATTTCTAACCCCAAATCCAAAAGAAGAACTTTTACCTAAAGGTTTAGAGTAACCCATGTTTATCTCTAAGTCACTATATTAAAACTGAAACTAGGCCCATCGTGTAACTGTATCTCACAGGAGGACCTCACCCATGGAGTAAGAAAGGCTGGAAGGATCATGGTGACAGCCAACTTCAGCGAATCTAGGGTTTATTTGATGCTGAAATGACAACTTTGTAAAAGCCAGGAAATTATGTTCTGGTAGTAAATGTGTGAGAATACACTGAACAAAATTTAAAGTGATTTCATATGGCCAGACTTCCTTAAGACCCAAGGAATCTACTAGCATTTGCCATTGTCACTGGTTATGGAGTTTCATCTTTACATAATAACAAAAAAAGGACTTTTATTCTTAAACTTCTGACCAAGGGCAACATTCTAATTATTAACATCTTAATGGGATTGACCCAGCTACTTCATGGGGAAATCTATGTCCCAAACCCTTCTGTTCTAATTGAAATGCCTTACAATTCCTCCTTAGGCTCCCCCAGCTCACAACCAGCCATTTCCTTACCAAAACATAACAATTTAAGTGTTCTTGGTCCGTGGTCACTAAAATTAGGTTAACTACTGGATGTGGTATCACACACTTTTAAATCCAGAACTCCGAAGGCAGAGGCAAGTGGATCTCTATGAGTTCTGGCCAGCCAGGGCTACAAGAAAAGGCCCAGTCTCAAAAATAAAACAAAACAAAACAAAAAAAACAACAAAAAACAAAGTAAAATGAATTTTTAAAAAATCAGACTAGAATGTATCTTGGAGTTAGGCAAAAACATTTTAAATCTTTGAACAATAAATGTCTTTATAATTAAATACCATTGCACAGTTTTAAGACAAACGGAGCAACAAAAAAAATATGTCTCCAGACCAGACATTGCATATCGTTACTTAATAACCCACAAATTTAACAAGAAGGCTACAAAGCAAGAGATTCAGCAAGAGAGAAAAATATACCCATCATGGGGGGAAAAAGAAGGAATGGAAGTAAACACAATAAGAGTGACTTAAACCACACCCCCATATAAAATTTGCATTGCAGATAGTGTACATTTTCACTTAAGACAGTAGGGTAGTAGTCAGGAGATTATGGGAAATTAGAATTGAACTAATGTTCTTTGGAAAGCTTCAATGTGGGAATCACTGATAAGTCAGTGACAATGACATTAGCAGGTGTGTTTCACCACACACACAGAGAGAGAAGCAAGCTGAGATGGGACTGTCTGTGGATATGTAACTGTGATCCACCTTCCCAATTTGGAGAACTGAGCCTTCATTAGGAAGTGAACTGAGGATGGTTTGCTTTTCTAACAAATCTCCAATTTAGACTCTCCTTGATTAAAAAGCTTTTAGAAATTCTGTTCCATTATCCTTATCATTTTAAAGACTTGAAGCTACCAGGAGCCATCTAACCCAATATTCATAGTAGAGCTTTCTTTTGAATGACTATCCTGAACCATAGTGTTTTACAAGGAAAACAACAAAGAGAATTTCAATGACAACATGAACTGGTTCATTTCAAGCCAATGTAGACAAATGACACTAAACAGTTGCATTAGTAGTTGCTGCTAGTTTTGCCTTTTGTTCCTGTTTCCCTTCAACTTTTCAGATACTGTGGTGATGGTGTAGAAGAAAAGCTAAGGGAATATATTTTTTTCAACCTTATGTAGTTTGAATTTATACAAACCAAACATAAGGCACTAAATATAACCTGAAAAAGTAGGTGTGTAATGTGTAATAAATCATTAAACAATGACTTATCTAATCTCACATAAAACTTTAAAAAAATGAAATCTTAATAAAACATGGGTTATGAATATCATGACGGTTTTCATAAAGGAAGAGTCATATCACAAATCTCTTTTCCAAAAAACGTCTACAGTGACAAGGGGGTCTGCTCAACCTGAGTCATCAGCTGTGCAACACTGCTCTGCAAGAGCATGAAGGCACCTGACTGGACCTCACCCAAGAAGACAACTAACTGCAGTGTTCCCTGAGCCAGTCTTACTCACACTGGCTTAAGAAAACAACAAAAGGAAACCTCCACCTGCTGAACCAAGAGAAATGATAGAACACCCACGCAACACACTGAATTCTAGCATTGTATTCTTTCTCCGGGGTTACTAATTAGCTGATATTTATATGATCTGAGTAATCTACTGTCAGGTTTGTGTGACTGGAGGGACCCAGAAAGCTGTCCAAGGGCTTTACACCAGTATCTTTCCTTCTGGACCCCAAAGGGACTGTGTCATTCTAAATGAAACTGAATCATAAGACAGGTTTTGAAAAACAATTTCCTCCAGTTCCTGTAAAGAGCTTCAAAATATAAAAATGTAATGCATAGAAGGGAAGACGAATAGTGAAAATCTTAAACAAATATATAATCTTTAGCCATCCAGGAACAGCACAGTGGTCTCGGATTTCTATGAAAACAAAGGCATTTTGTTTCAGTAAACATCCTGTAGTTCAGCTATTGTTCTCAGGGATACATCTTTATATGAAATAAGTAGCCTCATTACCCTTTATTCTGTCATCATTACTTAAATGAGAGTAAAGTCGGCAAAGCGAGGAGCACCATGATGCATCTGCAGCAGCCCTAACTAGGAAGCCATTGGTTTAGCAAGTGGAGAAATAAGAACAAAGAAATTCGGAATAAAAAAAAATCAACATGAAAAATTCTATCTACAAAGGAAACTGGATGAAAGTAACTGTCAAGGAGGCTTTAGGTTTGGAGGTGGACCTGGCAAATTAAAACTCACTTTTGGCTGTGACTCAGTCCTTATCTTTCTCAAGGATTATTTATTAGAAGAGGAGAAACGTAGTTCTATGAATGTCTATTTGATGATCTATTGCCTTCCCCTGAAAGTGGCTTCTCCCAAGTGAGGAGTTGGGGGGAACATTCCCAGCCCCCCATTGCTAATGCTCCACTCTGCTCTGCTCTTCACATCCAGCAGGTTCACACTGCACACACCTGAAGCAAATATTGACCACCGCCAGACTTCAAGCATCAGTTTGGCTTCATGAAATTTTTCATGAACAAATTCAGAGGCACCTTTCTCCAAACACATTTTTGTGAGTAAGCACATATTCTAAAACTAAAATTCCTGATTTTACCCAAAGACAGACAGCTATGCCCTCATCACTGATACAACTGTATATTACAGACACATCTTCTATTTAGTCAAAGCAGTCAGACTCCATCATAGTTAGGGCACTGGAAAAATAACAGGCAAAGGCCACTTGTCTGCTTATTTTGTATTAAATAAAAATTAACGTACTCTTCTAAATGTTGTTTCTGCCCATTTCCATAACATTATTTTGTCTAATCTGAAAAAAATTCCTAACAGTAAAAATGTTACAAACATTTATCATTTTGCCTTTTGTTTCTAAAGCAATGAATTTTAGCACCAAGCTTATAAACCAAAAATTTGGAAGATGCTCACTTAAAATGAAGATCTTTGAAAGTAAAATGAGTTTCCACAATTCCTGTTGTTTTCACCCTGGTTCGAAGAACATCCTGCTGAGTTGGGATGTAATTTGGTTGTGCTATTCTGTCCAAGTCATTTAAATAACTGAAAACAAACAAAAAACAAACACAGTGTCAATAGGAACTAGAGCCAAACAGGATTACTTAAAACTACAGTATATTTTAATTATGCAGTGTTTTCAAGTTTGCAAGGGTCTTTATAATCATATAAAACATATAATCATATAAAACAACCAATTTAAGCTCCCATGTCAGTCAAAATCTTTGTTAAGCTTTGTTTTTCAGCCATTGCAAAGGAAAGTGGCTTAAACATGTCTAAACTAGAAAACATCATGAGCTTGTTTCTTAAAACTCTTCCTTACACTTTCAGTGTAACATACCATGCTTGGGTCTATACTTTCCCCTCTGTTGAAGAATTCATAGGTCTTAATTGTGGAGGCAGTGGCAAAAAACGCTCAGAAAAGGCTGGGTGAGATGTTTCCTGCTAGTCTATATTTTACACAGGGAAAGCCACATTGTTCTGTTCTCTACTTCAGTAACGCTACAAACATTGAGGTCCCCAAAACAGTACAAGCTCCTATCAGTGGCTTTATCTGTCCATCACAATTAGAGGATAAAATCCCCCCACCCCCTGCCGTGAAAGGTACCACACACTTCAGCTTAAGATACAGAAAAAGCAAGCTGGAATAGTTTATTCCCTCAAGGCAAGCATTAAAGTCCCAGAGGTCCTATTCAGGCTTCTGGAGGAGAAAAGGCATCGCTAGTATCATGAACCCTATGCATGAAAACAATCTAAGCTGCCAGGCAAGATGTTCCCATCTTTAATAGTAGCACCACTATTACAGGGTAACCAACTGTCATCTGATTTACTTGCTCCACAGTTCAGAATCCCATTAACAACCTTTGTTGGGGAAATGCTGTAGGCCCAATTATAGTTACAAAACTGATGGAACATCAAGCTACTTCTAAATCTGAATGTTTATACTCACAGACAAAAGCTACTCTCAGCCTTCATCAGACAAGGCTCTCCTTATAGTAAATGGTGATAAATATTGAGATTCATGGATGTTTAAGATGAAGAGAACAAGTGATGGTTGAAGGCTCAAACCTAAACAAGACATTTACACCACCCTCTGTAAGGCACAGAGAACTTAGCAAGAGGAAGTATCTAATAGCCAGATCAGTGCTCTGAGAAATGCAGAGTGTATTTCTGGAAGTTTTGGTGACTTCTTGGAGGTATATTGGAGACAATCCCAATTAGAGATTATGTATGCATGAGGCTCTTCAAAAAATGCATAATAACAGCATTGCTATCATAAACATTCAAAAAAAAACCAGAAAGACAGAAAAAGATTCAAATATTGTCACTCGAGAAACCTGAGTTGTATAAGGACATGCCAGGCAATTCCCCAGCACAAATGACATGGAGATGGATTTGCCTGCACACAATCATTCACTACAGCAGAGTTCTGAAGCTGTGGCTACTTACTACGCTGCAGAATCATTGAGCTGGTACTCTCTGGATCTGTTGAAGCAGGCTTGCACACCACTGTCTTTCCACAATCTCTTTATGACTCCAGCAAGCTCTGCAGTCATAAAGCCTTCTTCTGCAGCCCCAGCAAGCACAAAGAGTTGACGAGCATCATCCTGCACATATGACAAGAGGTGATAAAGGAAAAAAAAAAATCACATATGGAGAGATAAGAAGAAATACATAATTGTGAATTTCCTTCATGTTGTTTTATAGAAATGTCACAACTTTTCTGCATCTGAAGCACCACTTGAGAAGTTAGCATATGCAAACCCAAATTACTAACATACATCATAAGCCTATGCTTTGTGTTGTATGCGGCAGCCATTAAAGCACCTGGAGCTGGAAGACTAAAGTCAGAGCATCTGAAGGGACCTTTACTATCCAGCAACAGAATATTACAAACAGCAGATCATTTAAAAAGATAAAAGATGAATGACACAAAAAATCATTCTTCTCCAAACTCTTTTTTAAAGGTTAACTGAATATTTATTCAATTGTTATCAATAACCACAAACACAAGCCAATAGGAATAACACCAATGTGAACTGCAAACACAGTCACTGGTTCAAACACAAGTTATGGTATTTTCTGGAGTATTGATATAGTATAATGCCAGTCTTTGAAAGAGATTAAAACAGGGAAATGTCCATGTGTTTAATGTGAGTAAACCAAAGAGTTTGAGTTTTTGAAAATAAACATACTTGAATATATATAGTAAATCAATATGATCCTAAGTTAATAGTTAGCTTACATTACATAAAGATAATATATAAAAGTATAATTGATGCCTATATAATTGTAAGAAATCAACAACAAAGCTAAACATTTTAGTGAAATTACATTATTTAGAAACAATGTTTACATAAATGATACATTAAAAATAAATAATATGAAATACAGATAAAATTCTAAAAATAAAATAAATATAATATTCTATCTGAAAATATTTATGATGCAAAAAATATGAATTTATTGTCAATTATATGCTTTAGAGTGTTTCTTTCTCCAAACTCTTTTAATCGAAGAAGCACAACATCATTAAAGATTATCTAAAACACATTCTAAGTGTTTGCCTTTTGGTGCAGTTTACAGATGCAAAACATAGTCAGCTGTGGTGATATATTGTTTATGATTAATTAGAGCTTGTCTGAGGATTCAGAAAAGCAAAGCAGCTGGCCACTAACTTCATCCCACTACCACTGGCTGACTGGGCAGATACTGTTTCCAAGAGCTCTCACTAAGCCTCAGATGTAACCTCTCCTCAGCTTGGCTGGAGACTAAATGCCTCTTCCTGAAACCTTGCTTCTGTCTTATATACTTCCCTAATGTTGGCATTAGGTGTAAACTATCATTCTCTTTTAGAATGATTCACTCTTGTGTAGACCTGGGTGGCCTTGAACTCACAGAGGTCTGTCTATCTCTTAATCCTGAGTCCTAGGATTAAAGGTGTGTACCACCACCTCCTACCTTCTGGCTACTGGGATTAAAAGTGTGTGCCTGGCTTCTATGTCTTATAGCTAATTTTGTTTTCTGGATCCTCAGGTAAGCTTTAATAAATCATAAACAATATCTCACTCATAGACATGGAAGAGAGAGATCAAGAGTTTCCCAGGATAGTGACCTCCAAAAGACCTTCGTCTATACACATATTAATAATCCGTGAGGAAGCAGCTGAGAGCAGATGTTTGCTAACCCAGGCATAGGGGAGGAAACAATCACAATTTTGGAGTAGACACGCCCACAATGCCATGTGAAGATGAGGGACAGCACACACGAAGTCCTAATGAAAGAAGACTGGAGCTAAAGTTGGGCTGGTTCCTCATTAGTGATGAAGCTGCTAACAGTTATTGAATGACAATCAACCACACTCAGTCATGGAGTCAAAGAGAAACAGAAGAGGAGCTTCTGAATGAATCCAAGTTGTCTTCTGCATCCACACTTCTATAGAGAGGGACCAGGAGGCCAGGGGAAAGGAGGGTCTACTTCCTGTGCACTTTTTCACGTATCTTTACTAAGACCAGACACATATGTAAGGTCTCTGCTCTGAATGTGGGTAGTAATTGCCATGCCTGGTAGCACAGTGGAGACTTTAGGTAGGAACAATCTAAAAACAAACCCTCTCTGCCATAAGTTACTCCTTTACTCGGGTTATTTTTAGCTTGAGATATGGGATTTGTATAGTGGGTGAATAAGCCATTGTTTTACCCAAGGTACATCCCTCTAAACTCCAGCTGGCTCTCTGATCCTCAGGTGAAGGTAAGGGAAAAGTCTGTGTGTACTGGGGAGGTATAGAGGTTTTCATGTTTTTTGTGGTTGTGATTCTTATCATTATTCTATGTACGATGCTGTATAAAATCAATTACCCATTATGATCAGGTTAGTATTAACAGTCATTTAGAAATTATTTGAAGGGCACAGGTAGGGTTTCTAAAGACTACATGTAAATACATCTTTTGACAATTCTAAAGTAGGTTTTACTACACAGGCCAGATTAGCCTTAAACCTATGATCTTCCTGCCTCAGTGACAAGTGCTGACATTACAGGAGGAGACCACCACACCTGGAAGCTTTATTATAAATAAACTCGGTCACCTTCAGATTTTGGCATTTTCTGAGTGTTCTAGAACTAATTCCCCACCACTACTGGGGAATGAATGCATTGTCTTACAGAAGTATGACTAAGTGTGAGGAAGAGAAGTGTCTCAAGGCAGGCTTGTGGGGCAGACAAGCTAATGATACAAACTCATCCTACCACTAATTCATGAAACATTTGCTTTTCAGCTGGAACTCATCATGGAAACTAATTAAGTTTCCCAGCATGGGAACACATTATTCAAGCATATGTTTCCCTCTTTAGTAAACCACAAGAGAAATGCACGCAAGCCAGCAACACGCACACATCCTTAGTAAAGCAGCCCACCACCAGACTGCAGCCACTCTTGTGACCATGGACCTAGTTCCAATAAGCAATAAGACTGCCTTCCAGATAATAACCTATACACAAAAATAGCCTGCCATTTTTAAGTATCGAACCATAGAAAACACAAAATTTTTTAGAAAAATATTTAAGTAGGTTTTTCAAATGTATTCCATTATTCAACCTTTCATCAATTTTAATAAAGTTTTGACAGAAGAGACCAAGACCCTCCAGTCTGGGTCATGGGATAGGAGCCTTTTCCTTCCTACTTTCTAGGAAGATGCCCTAAAGATAACACAGAAGGAATTTTGGATGCTGTATTTATAAACCACACTTCCCCAGGCATTCAAATGCCTCTTCCTTTTTTTTAGACTGCACACATAAGTGAGACCATGCAATCCTTTTCTTTCTGAGTCTGCCTTATTTGACTTAAGACAGTATCTACCAAGTAAGAAGAAAATGTTGGTCAAATTTGCAGAGATAGAAATTTTGTTTTGTTTTGTTTTTGTTATTAGTTTTTTATTTTAGAAGCACTCTTATTTACATATCAAGTCCCCCACCCATTCCCCAAGGATAGTGAGGCCCTCCATGGAGGACCATCAAAGTCCCTCACATCATTTTGGAGAAGACCTAGGTCCTCTTTCTTGTATATGAGCTGTAATAGTATCCCTCCATAGGGAATGGTCTCCCAAAGTCCATTTCTGCTCTAGGGATAAACACTGGCTCCACTGTTAGAGGTCCCATAGACTGCCCTGGCCTTTAAACTGTGCTCAACCTGAGCAAGGGAAGTGTGTGAAGAAATAGGAAAGATAATTCAAAGAGTAAGTAGCAAAAGACAGGCTGAAGCTAGTTAGTGCAAAGAGCTAATGCTCAATACCTAAACTAATCATATAATTGCATTTTATTGGACGTATGTTAATTCAGTTCATTTTAGCAACTCTCTTCACTCAAAAATGTAAGATGATGGACATGTTAACTTGCTTTCCTGTAGTAACTATACTATTATCTTTTGGATCCCATAACATTGAATTGCAAACTTCAAAACTACACAGTAAAAATAACATTAAAAAACTCTCTTCTTCACAAACTGTTAAAGAGCTTATTCCTCTAAAGTACTCGGGATGCTAACATAGGAGCATCTCAAGTTCTAGGTCAGCCTAGGCTACATAGTGAGTGTAAAGTCAGGCTAAATTACGATGAACCCTGTCAGAGGAAAAACTAATGGAAATATTTACCTCCCTGCCACTGGCTTGACATTTAGCCATCATCAACAGGTGAGCACTGAGGTAATGAATTTGAGCAGAACCCACTGTAGGAAACTGTCTACCTAACCTTTTGCCTTGCACAACCCAAGGCAGCTTGCCTCAAGACCACAGCCAGTCACACAGTCATCAGATAAATCAGTAAATGAACAACCAGCAAGCCCTTATTGTATAAAATAGTCTAAAAAATAAAAGCCCTTTCTTGTCTAAAACAAGGAAACTTAAAACTGTAGGACAATGACAGTGTTTTCATCCCACTTTGTCACAAGGCCTATGCAAGATGCATATAAAACAAAACTTAAAATCATCTAAGGACATCAACAGCACATGCAGTAAGAGATAAAATGGACAGAATGGACAGAATGGACCAGGGAAGACAGAACTGGAGTGTGCTTAGGGAAGCAGCTGACAGGAGCCATGTTATGGTGTTATAAGCAAAGAAGGACTGGAGGGCCCAGCTCAGAATTACACTCAGTTTGATTTGCAGCCTACCTACTACCTCCAGACCACTCTCCACATATGAGACAGTAGTGTAAGAACCATGTGCTGCACAGATTATGTATATAATGCCCACAAACATAAAAATAAAAATAAACCTTACCTTTTCTTTTTAAAGACAGAATGGACATGAATGTGAAAGTGGGGCGGTTAAAATGTGATCTGAGAGTGTCAATCTCAGCTCATAACTGGGCTTTGGAGCTCAGAAAGGAACCACTGCAGTACTGTGCTAGGGAGACAGCAAGGCTTTCCCAGGGGTAGTCTAGACACTTGGTTGTGATGTGCATTTTTTCTGGCACTATCTCATACTTTACAGTATTTAAACACCTCTACCCAGGATGGGGAAGACTTTGAAGGACCAGAATGGCTGACTTTTGACATGTTAAGGGTCACAGAAGGCAAGAAAGGGCACACTTCCTGTGGGGAACATAGCAGA